AGAACTTAAGCTGACTGGTCTGTAATTCCCTGGGTTGTCCTTATTTCCCTTTTTATAGATGGGCACTATATTTGCCCTTTTCCAGTCTTCTGGAATGTCTCCCGTCTTCCATGACTTTTCAAAGATAATTGCTAATGGCTCAGATATCTCCTCAGTCAGCTCCTTGAGTATTCTAGGATGCATTTCATCAGGCCCTTGTGATTTGAAGACATCTAACTTGTCTAAGTAATTTTTGACTTGTTTTTTCCCTATTTTAGACTCTGATCCTAACTCATTTTCACTGGCATTCACTATGTTAGACATCCAATCGCCACCAACCTTCTTGGTTTCTTTCAAGTGAGAAAGAACGTTATATGTCACCTTAAGATCCAAACCACCAGTTTTACCAGTTCCTTAGCTTGTTGTTCTGTACTTTCTCTTATCTCTGTTTCAGACACTACATTTTAAACCAGTTGCCCTTGAAGGTACCTGTGCTGGGACATAGAACGAATATACCTTGCCTTTGACAATTTGTCTACTTTCTTTACAATCATTAATATACAATGGTATTCCACCACCTTTACCTTTATTTCTGTCTTTCCTGAACAGCACATGCCCTTCATTACCTGTATTCCTGTGATGACTGCTATTCCACCATGTTTCCATTATCCCTTTGGTGTCTGATTTCACTTCCTGCACCAGTAGTTCCAGTTCCTCCATTCTGTTACCCAGGCTCCTTCCATTGATGTACAGAAATCTTAGTTGTTTCCACTAGGCCTCACCCAGATGTTTCACCCTATTAGATGCAGTCATTTTACTGCCAGCATCACCTACCTGACTGTTACTCCTACCCTCTGTTATTCCTTTCTCCATTGCTGTATCCTCTTTTACTTGATTTTTCTTCCTGCTCGGAATTAGAATCAGGTGTGAAGATTACACATGCATCTCCCAACTGTCTCCCCTGAATTCCTAGTTTAAAGTTCTTTTAATAGGTTGTGTCAACCTCCATCCCAGAATTCTATTACCCTCCCTCCTCAGCTAGAATCCATCCCATGAAAACAATCCTCTGTCCATGAATGTCTCCCAGTGGTCAAACATCCCAAAGCCTTTCTTAGAGCACCACTGCCTGTTGATCATCAGAATCTTGTCTCGCCTTCGCTTTTCTTCTTTAGGGATGGGTAGAATCCAAGTGAAGATCACCTGAACCTCCATTTGTTTAAACGTCTTCCCCAGCCTGGTGTAGTCTTGATGACTCCCGGCGACCATCTAGTAGTATCATTTGTTCCCACATGATGGACAATCAGTGGATTCTTTCCTGCTCCCATTATTATCCTCTTCAGCCTGAGGTCTACATCCTGTATCTTAGGTCCCAGCAGACAACAGCTCTGGTGACAGGCCTGTCTGTTCTTTTTTGTAGGGAGTCCCCAATCCCATAGACCTGCCTCTTCCTGGTGTTTGGTGTGATTCTCTGGCCTTCCCCTTTCTGTTACCTCTTGCTGCAAGTCATCTAGTCTTCTTTTCTCACTGGCAATCTTCTGAGAGTCATCCTCTATCCTTCTGGGCTCCGTACAATGGCTTTCTTGTAGGACTAGCTGTTCTTCTCTTCGTCTTTGTTCTCCCATCTTCTGTAACTGTCTCCTCTCATCTTCATTTTCCAACTCGGCGAACTTGTTCCTCAGCTCTGCTTCTCCTTCACTTTTCATCTGCCTTGTTCTTGTAGTCAAATGTTTCCACTGGCTGCTTTCTCATCCAGCCATCCAACTCTCACCGTTCTCTTGTTCAGCATGCATCTGCAAGTTTGAGGTTTCCCTTCAGCCTCCTCTCTCCTTCCCTCCACCATCCACTCAAATCCCCTGTGAAACTCAGTCATAGTTCCTAGCTGCATATTCACACTTCTTCTCTTCTATGCCATCAGCTCTATCAGGCAGCACTTCATACAAATGAAGCACCTTTCAGGTACCCTATCCAAAATAATGTACACCCCGTGGCTTCCACATCCAGTCTATTTAATTGTTTCTTCCATTCTTCAGATCACTACCTTTGTAGCTGGCATAGTCTTTCCTCCACCATACCCATCTTTCCACAAACTCCCATTCAAACTCCCCTGTTTTCAACTCTGTTTGCTGGCTCTTATGCTGCTGACTGGCCAGCTGCCTGCTTTTATAGCCCTGCTGATTAGGGATGCCCTGCACCTAATCAAGGTTCAGCTGTGATCAAAATGTCTGCTTCTTTCACAATACGTTGCTCCATATCAGACTTTGCAAACTGAAAGCAAACCAGCAAGCAAACACATTGACAAACTGAAAACCACAATCATTCGGCACAAGTTGAATGTGTGTGCATATGTGCGTGTAGAAATTCAACAATACTAAAAGATTGTTTAAAGAAAAAAGAATTACTGCTTTTTCTAGTGAGATAGGAGAGCAGGTAGTCATGCTGAACTGCCTTAATGCTTAGAGCTTCATTTGTGCAGCAGGAATAATGAACTAAGAGGCAAACAGCAAGGTCCTGAGAAGCTAAATGAACATTTAGCAGGTGAGTCATAGAATAGGGAAATGGAAAAGTCTCCAATTTATTATCATTAAAACAAACAACAGCCTGCATTCTAATTTTAAAATACTCAGCACTGTTGACACTGTCAACATGGAAAAATAATCCTATTTTTAGGCCCCCCCCTTCGCTGAAATTTGCATGCTGATGTGATCAACATACAGTAGTTTCCAGGTGTATGAGGTGATGTGATGATCCATGCTAGTGTGTGCTTTGCTTGCCTTGTAAAATAAGGAGAAGCAAAGTTTAGAGAACAATGTTGTGCAGAAAAAGGTAATTTTGAGTATAGAATAGATGACTATACCAAACATTTTCCTTCAGAGTAAATAATGGTGAGTAAATACTCAAGCTAGCTAAGGAAACTTAGGAGATAATTCTTGAAGCTCTCTCTTTATTTCAAGGATACTGTACAAATATATGAAAACATGGTACAAGAGTCTTTTCTGTAACCTATGTATTTTCTTGGGCCTTAAATATCCCATGGTCTGAGAGTCTAGGTCCTTGCTCTTCAGAAGGTCCCTGCTCTTTTGTGCTGTGTTGTTCAGATACATTCCCCTCCAACTCTTCCCCTGAAGAGTCCTCCTAGGATTTTTAAGGAGATTGTTTCTACAGATCTGTTTTTTGATGAGGAACACAATATGTGGCTATCATGGGAATGATAACACTGACAGCGAAGACAACAAGATTGACAGTGTCATGGAATTTGGAGATTTTTAGCCTTTCCTGGGAAGAAAATATGCTCAGAATCTCATTTTCTTCTAAAACGCTTACACTATCTAACAGAAATGATAGAATAACACACTATGGTAAATGTGGAGTGCTATAGTACCTGTTACCCAAGCGTCTCAAACATACATGCATTATGTTCCATAATATCTCTCTGAGGTAGGTAAGTATTGTTACAAATGTTTTACAGATGGGAAACTAAGGCCCAGAGAGATTAACTGACTTTTGATTAGCTTTACACGAGCAGGTTGGTGTCAGAGCTGGGAATAGAACCTGATTCAAAGTTGCGTGTGATAACCTCTAGGCAATATTCTCTACTGATCTAGTCTGTTTGATATTCATTAAGAACTACTAGGAAATAGAAAACTACTTTGGGTTTTTTACCCACGAAAGCTTATGCCCAAATAAATCTGTTAGTCTTTAAGGTGCCACCGGACTCCTCGTTGTTTTTGTGGATACAGACTAACACAGCTACCCTTGATAGGAAATAGAAATTCATCAAGGGATATTTACAACACAGTACCAACCTTCAACATGAATGACAATCATATAAATTAATGCCATGCAGGCAAAGGTGCCCAGGACATCAGATATTAGTTACATTTTGTAATGTATTGGAGGAAAAACAATAGCTTATACTGTATATTTGGACCTGAAACCACAGCCCTATATTTGACTTCATCCAGTCTTGTACTTTCACTCCTTTATGATACTTCATGAAGAGGTCCCTATTGGCAAACAGTGGATATTGATATACTGATATACAAAAAAAAATGTTCTTTACTCATGGCAGAATTCATGCTTCTTTTATTGCATAAAATCTACTAAAAATTATGTATACAATACATAAATATTTCAAAAATTCTATAATACACTATTTTTTGCACATTGAGACCATTGTTTACACTATATATAATTTTTAATCCCTTTTAGCATTTAGCTTTATAGGATGATAGAAGGTATATTCATAAATACAAATTGAAAATTCATAGCTTGTTTTTTAAACTTAAAAGCTCAAATGGAAAAGCAGGGAAAAAAATGTATGCAAAATAACCAAGAATCCTGAAAAATATCTCTAAGCAATTTTCAACAAGAGACACAAGTGAAATCCCTTCAGAGTTAGTGATACTGTTCTTTGTGTTCTAATTATCATTTATAATAATTTGGGAACTTCAGTTCCTCTCAGTGGAACTATTGGTAATTCAAACAAATGATATTTTATCTTTAATTAATCCCTCAAAGATGTCCCATTATTGTTGTCCAATGATATTGTCTCTCCTATCCCCCTGCCCCCAAAAATTAAACAGTTGCAGTTATAACACTGAGGATGCCGTTTGTAATTATTCCATGACTATTATTTCTCTTCCTACAGAGAAATGCAATGATAATTCAGTGGCAAGGATAATTAAAAATTATCAATTTTGTTTAGAAGACAAGAAAAATTATAGCATTACATTCGTATTTTCAAATTTCTCTGGTTACTCTATATCTTTAGGAATAAAATAAGCATTTCATCTCCATTATACAAAATAAGCTAAATAAATAAATAAATAACTGCATCAGCAGCATGATTTCTGTCCAAGAAAAATCAAATATAATTTATAAATGATGCTCCTATTTGCAAGGAATGGACTGTAATGCAGTTCCATTTTAATAGACCATCTCAGTTTAACACAAGACTTCCTTCACGTTTAAGTAAGTTAAGTGGAAATCTTTCAAAGTTCCATTATGGGCTGTCTCCTCAGGTTGGCTGGCAGTTAAAGAACCTTGTAAATGCATTGCGGGAAGACCCAAATGGAGTGATCTTAACCTTGAAGAAACGTCCTCAAAACACCCTGGTTTCTGCTCCTGCACTTCTGAAGAATGTGAGGTGGAAGCCTCTAGCACTTCAGGTAAGAAGATTGTTGAAACTGTAGTGTTTTATAGTAAATGCTATCTTTTGTTAAAGAGCAAGGTGGTAGAGTGGTTATTCCTTCCAAACAGAAGCTACAGTTATAACTATAGTGCAGTTCATAATGACTGGTACTGTAAGCCTGTGACAGACTGAGAAAATTAGTGAAACGGTGTTGGGTCACACTCATGGCCCAAAGATCAGCACTCTGGAACAACCAGCCTAATTGTTTTTCCTCCATATCTTTGTATGAGCGGGGACCAAAGGAGTCAAAAGAGACAGAGAACAGCTGCAAACAATAATATATTCAATATATCTAACTGTTCTGACCCAACTCCAACTCAGTTGCTTACTGTCTCCAGCAAAAGCCCTTCCAATTATTCTGCATTTCCATCATGTCCGAGCAAGTCTTTTGTAATCTTTTTAAGAGGGGATTCCAATCCCTTTGGATTTCTGACATGGTCTATTTATTTTCCACATTTTTGGCCAACAGGATTATGGTTCATTTGCAGAGCCAGTAATACTTTTATGCTTACTTGTTCTATGGAAGCCTGCCAATAGGAAAATAAGCAGTTATAAAGAATAATGGTTGGTCTGCTTGTCAGCTTGGTTTTCCTCAACATGCTAAAAGTTTCCTATGCTTTCCCGTGATTTCTAGCTGGAAAACATTGACATATGTGGTAGAAACTGACCTACCAAAAAACTTAAAAGGAAAACTACTAAAGGCAACTTTCCTGAATAAACAAATGGATATGGCTGCCTATCTCTACCTTTTAAAATTGTATAAGATTCACTAAGAAGTTTCTGCACTTTTATGATGTGCAAACCAAGTTTGGAGATTTTGCGGGATCATTCAAAAAAAAGTGAATAGTTTTCTTAATCCAGTCTGAATATTATGTCCCATATTTCTCTTTCCTTAATCACAACCAAAGAGTGTGTCCTCCCTTCTGCCTCTACATCTTTCCCAACTTTTATTCTCAACAATGATCACATCCCCATTAGCTCTCTAGCTGATCCTCACAGTCTGGAAGCTCTGACATTTCTTCAGTTCCTTTCTCCCTCTCAAAGCTAACACCTGGACTGAGTAACCTGCCCCTAAGAGGGACTTTCTGACACATAAAATATTCAAAACATTGCAGATTTTTCTAACAGTAGGTCACAAAAATCAAACTTCCCTATCCACTAGAATGCTTGAAGACCTAAAGAGAAAGGCAGCTATTCATTTAGTTAATCTGGAACCTTCTTGGAAAGCAAAATAGAGTTGACAAGTAGAGATCCCTCCTTTGTGCCAGCACATTAATTATGTTGTTAAAGAACTTGAAAAGAAACAGAACACAGGTCCAAGAAGCTCTGTCAGAATGGAAGTGATCAGTGCTAGTATATATAGCATCCAATTTCCTCTATGATACAATGGGTTGCTGCATTGTTACCACAGCCATAATAGTTGGATGAATGGGAGCACATTAAGCTAGTTCACTAGTGATCAGTAGTTTCTGCTTTTGTGGTGCGCCTCATTGAGGAAACCAGAATTAAATATTTTATATTATGTTATTCCGTGCATTTTCTTCACTTAGGGACCAGCAAGGCATGTTGTATTTATCATTGTCTCCACTAGACCATGTTTCTCCAATAAGGAGGAAATATTAAAAATGAAGGAAATTAGTAAAATTGTACATTGCTATTTCTCACATTTTTTCCAGAGTAATGCCACTGTTCTTCATGAGTACCCTCTAAGAGCAGATTTTTGTCAAACAAGATGTCTGAAACCACTGAAGCTAGATTTAACTTTTTTTTTTTTCTCCCAGTGTCTTTCTTTTTTTAGGCACATAGATGCCACAGTGATGAAGACTGTATAAGAGCCTAGATAGATTTCAAGATACCAGTTTTTTATTTCATCTATCTCTTACCGAAAGGAGACACCAAAAAATGCCAGTCCTAACTTGTGATATATTTTCCAGGCATTTGATTTATGCAGATGCAAATATTTTATGCATATGTAAATTAGGTAATTGTGCCACCAGAGTAACTTTCCAATCTGAACATAAATGATTACTTTTGTGCACAGATGCAGGCTTTAAGTGCAGAAGTGGATTTTGAGAACAAAATATATGGTACACTGGCTGAAACTGTGGCACTGTACACTATGTCTTGTGAATTGACTCTCTCATGAACTGAAGAATTCTTTGTTTTTTTGAAGAATACCTTGCTTCCCTCCCAAGATTCACGGAAACTAAATATTATGCAGTGAGATTCTACTGTAGAGGTAATCTGTCTGCCAAGAAACTGTTTAATGGAGACTCATGGTCATGTTAACAGGAATTCAAACAAACCTCAAGGCATAAAAGAGATGATTTGTTTATAGAATCCTGTGACAGATCCAGATGAACACTCTCCCTGTAGGACACAAACTGCTGTGAGGGGATCTAGCAGCTGAATCCCTCAGTGTTTTAAGCCTCTGGAGCCTGTACAAAGGCTCTGCCCTGGCCTTGGGGCTTCTAGACACACTCTTGAGGTGCAGAGTATCCCTTTATGAGAGCTGTGACTACGTGGCCCACTGCCTAGCCCCTGGCATCAGTGCTGACTCCTCAGACTCCCTTGTAGCTGAAACTTGCCTTCTCCCAGAGCTCCATCTGTATGCATGTTCTGGGCCCATGGTTTACCTCTTCCAGAGGCATGTGGTGGTAGGTGTAACACATATCACACACAGACTTATTTCACACAGGATTCTAAAACACAGTTCCTCTTTACTAAACCCAAGAAATGCACAAATGATCACAGAGCCCTTTTGTCAATCTCACAAAATGAATCCTTTTGGGAATCCTTTTAAGCTACTGTAGTGATATATAGAAATCTGCATTTCCATCATGAAACATTATGAAACCATATCATGGATTTACCTATACTTGGCCCAGGTACTACTCCTTTCACAATGCACAACAGAAAGACAAATATTGCAGTGTTACCAACTCTCAAGATTTTCTTGGGAATCTCACAATAACTGATGTTTTTCTTAAAGCCTGAGCTCCTGGAGGCTTGTGGTTAGGTGAAAAAAAATCTCTTCTTACATTTTAAAAAAGGAAGTTTGTAGCCCTCATGGTTGCGGAGAAAAGCTTGCAGACATGAATCAAATTTAAAAAAAAAAAAAACTTATGATTTCAAATCATATCTAAAGATTCTGGGGAGCCTTACTCAGATTTTTGAATGCTTGAGGTTGGTGACATTGATATTTAATCTACATATTCATTCTCACCAGCTCAAATCATCTCCTTCAGAAATATTTGATGTAACATGTGCATTTACCCCATTTTTGGTCACAGTGGGAGCTGGATCAGGCTCTACATGAATGAGGTAATTTTTGGTAGGTTGAACAGCTTACTGGCTAACACTCTTTATGGCTGCAAGTGGTATAAACCTGCTGCTTGATGCTGATATGAAACTACTCAGAGAGAGAGAAACATTTTTTTTTAACTCGTGTCATGCAACTCTAATGTCTTCTTCTACCTCATAGATTAAGGTTTTAGAAGTGGGGGGCTCAGGGTTCCTATCATATTCTGAGGTTGATCATTTCTGTTGCTCCCATACCTCTCTCTCTCAGAATTGCCCATGAAGACAATTTTTCCCCATGGCTGTGAGGATGGAAGGCTTTATCAAGAGCTGCTGTTCATGATATCCCATTGTTTATCTAGAAGGGATCAATATAAGTGTATAATTTAGTTGCTTTATTCCCTGAAATACAAACATACCATCTCCATAATTTATAAATCTATGAGACCAGCAAATTAGAGTTCCAGTACAGAATATGAACTTTAATCTCCTATAGGCTGTACCCTTGTTAATCTGCGAAATCACCAGATCAGTTAGTTGTAATGAGTGCTCTTTCTTTCTATGACTAGAACAAGAACTTCACATTCATTGAGATTTCAGACATGCTCTCTTCAGTGAGATAAACATCACCATGCTTCTAATCAGGTTCTGGATATGATAGATCAGAATAAAACAGTTTCAACAGCCATATAAATAAAAAATTACATACCTTCCTCTTGTTCTTTTCCGGAAAAAATATATTATTTGTGGCTCATTCTGCCACCTTCACTCACCTTAGTAGTACCTTACTTCTGAAAGTAATTTCGTAGACTCCAATGAGACTATTCCCTTCAGTAAGGGTGGTGGGCTTTGGCCCTATATAACTGAATCAATAAAATTATATACACGTAAGTGTATTGGCCCATATTAAACATAAATAATTCACATGACATGTCAGAACATCTAAAAATGTTAGAAGTGTTAAAACCTTTTTTTACCTAAACTTCCATTAATTTAAAAGTTTTATATTTTATGTTCTCATCACACAGCCACGCTCCCATTGAAATCACTAACAAAATTGCAGGTGAATACATTGGGATCAGAAAGCTGTTCCTTAATTATTAACCACTGGCAAATGGGCTAGATAAAATGAAATGCCACCTAAAAAGTACCCTTTATAATATATAATTTATGCCATATTCTTCTGTTTTCTGTAAGCACCAGAGCCTTTTCATTGAGTAGTACAGTAAAATAAATATTTTCTGTCTATTCTCCCAACTTTTCTAAGGGATAACTACTTATATTTGATGGGTGGAATTGAACCTTGTTGCCTTGTTTATTTCTGTAAATCTGCAATAAATAAATGATGTAAAAATTTGTGAGCATTTTTAGTCACCTTTAATGTAATGGTCAATGTAAGAAATCAGTGAAACCAGAGGCCTTGAATTTAAAATTTTTACTGCAAGTATGTGAAAAGTTGAACATTTATAAAATAAACGTTGTGTACTTTTAAGTTCATCAATCAGTGCAGTAGCTATCTCTGTCTAATGAGTCACCCATCACTGTCATATCTGAGTGCCTAACATACTGTTTTCATATTTTCATACTGTTGGCTGAGATTCTGTACTATCTGGACCAGTTCTGCATAGGCTGTCATGAAGAGGATTGGGAAAATGGTTCATGATCATACAGATCCAG